ATTGTATTGTAGTAACCTTCCGTTAACATTTAGTGTAACTTTTATTTCATAAATAAAGAAGTAATATCAATTTGAAATACTGTGGTCGCCAAAATTGCTATGAAATTAATTGCTGTATGAAATATTTGTCTCTGATATATTGTATATATCCTCATGCAGTGGGGCTCTGGCCTTTATTTAATAATTTTTTGGTCACCCATCCCGTGAATAACCCGTGCGAAAATCGCTTAACCACAACATTCGCGGGTAGCGGCGCTTATCCGTTGCGCTACCGAGCTACGTATTGTCTGTAAAATTATAATTTATATGAATATAAATAAAAAATAAGTCTTCTATATTTTGGATACCACAATTTAAGTTGATTTAATTATATATGACCAATCATATTAAATATGGTGGGTCCTATTAAATATGATTGATAAGGTTTTCGATAGTAAATCCTTATCAGGTTAGGTTTACGTCTTCGAGACTAGTGGAAGTAGTTGGCAGCCACCTCTGCATTATAGGGCCTCACCTGTCTGGGAGTGGCTCTAGATGGATCCGAGCCTCTCCATCTGCGATAGTACTAATGGTCCAATACTTGATTGTCCAGGTGACTCGGCTGCAGCTGGGTGGGTTCACGGAGAAGAGTCCTACTCACCCACTGTTGCTAACCGGGTAACAGGAACAGAGCCAGAGAGCAGCTTCCTCAACGTTAAAAAAAGTTAAGTTCACGTCTCAGCAGATACTTTCGCCAAAAAGGTAAATAAATTGTGAGAATGCTTTGAAAATAGGTCAAGCCTGCAAAACTATTAAAAGGATGAGATTCTTAAGAAGATCCTGCAGCGAAACGTAGGAAATTGTTTGGCCAGGTTACGCCCTACAGAAACTTTGACTCAGCATGAAAATGGATGTACACCGTTCTTGAATGAGTGAAGACAACTCAAGTTAACTCTTAATAGTCTTATATTACTCTCTTTGTTTTTTTATATTTAATTCGCTTTACTTTAAAGTTAGTATTTGCAGTCTTCACTGGAGTCTTGAGCTCCTCTCCGTGCTTCGGAATGCAAGTTAAGCCGTTGGTCCCGGCTGCTCCAGTAGTCATTAACACCCACCAATTCGCATTGGGCCCGCGTTGTGCGTTATGGACCATTGATCCTACTCGATTCAATCCCAACCATAGAAACAATTACGTGAGGTAGTTTCCCACGCAGACGAAGTCGCGGGCACAGCTAGTATATGTTATATAAACACGAATAATATTTCGGAGGTACCACGACTGCCAATATAGAGGTTATATAATTTTAGATACTAAATACCTTTTAACTAATATAAAAAGAAATAATATAAAGATGTACTTAATCGTTCCAGATTTCGAAATTTATGTATTTGTTTATTATTTATTTATAAATCTTCCGACTTTTCATCAACCGACTTTTATCACCGATCAAATCTATGTTGTTATGAAAACAATATTGTATTATGAAAATTAAGGAAGACATTTACAATTAAATTTGGCTTTACATTTTAAGCTCCGCAGTATTGGAATGAAGGCTACAGCCTTAAATTCGCCGATAAGACGTTAATTAAAAGTTTAAATGAGTCCTTCTGCCAGTAGAGGGATTTTGTAAGACCATAGATATCCACAATATTGGTGAGAACTCCAACTTTTCATGCGGCATGTTTCGGAAAAGGGTTGGAAATCTATTTAAATTACCTGTTCGGAAGTCGATCAAGATAAACCAAGTCTTCTACAAGTTTCAGATAAATAAGATCCAATAATTAATGTTCAAACTTTGAGTTCAATTAATAAAATAGAGAAGGATTATCGAAGAGTATTGATTGGGACTTATTATTTGCAACTCCTTGGCATAATTTATCCTGACACTTTCGATAATTATCATCATAATTCAACCAATTTGTTTATGTACATATACTTTACCAATTATTCTGTCTTTTAGTTAATGAAAATTACAAGAATATACATTTAGATTTTTTTTATTAAATAACTGATACACAAAGTGGTCACTTTGTTTTACCTTTTTATTAATTATTCATTTTTATCTGTGCGTATCAAAACAAGTGTACAATTAAATAACTTTATAATTCTTACACGTTTATTTAAAATATATGATTTACATTTATTCCTTTTATACCACTCAACATATATCATATGATTTCTAGGTACTGTCGCTCTGTGATGCTCCGAGTACTGCGAACTTGAAAATTTAACTAAAAATCATTTTTTATTTTTTTTTTTAACTATATTTTAAGTTGAAACAACAACACAAACCCCTTAAAGTAGTAACGGCAAAAAAATGAAAAAAATAATATTACGATTATCACTTAATTTTTCCAATGCTTATATTGAAAATATCAATGCAATGAATTTTAATATTTAATTATAATCCTCATATATATCAAGCAAAATGCATACAGAAGATTATTCGATTTGTGGAAAATGTCAACTGCCAGAGTCAGAGCTCATAGTTTGGTAAGTAATCTGGATTGTATATCAGAGTTCTATCGCGTGCACTCGAGGGACTGTATTCTGGAACTTTTTCTTTCGCTCTTCTTTTACTTATTTTTATGCGCACTACGATTAAACCCTCCGTGAGTTCGGCTATTTAGTCGTCCCCCAACTAGTAACTTATAGTTTTAGTTAGTTGTACCATTCTTATTCTTTTTCATATATCTTTATCTTTTTATATATACTACTCTTATAAATTAAGTTGACACCTGTAGGCCTATTCTGTTTCTACTAAAACGAAGTTTCATCTATTTACTGAAATTCAAATACGTCTCTAAAAGAAAGACATTATTCGATAATTTATTATGCATCGGAGGTAACACCTGACACTGACTCTGATGCACAGACAATCTTTATAGATATGATTTTAACAAAATTATTTGAACGATTATTATATTACGAGTATCATAATTATTAGAAATTTTACGAGTTTTCGTTCGAGGACAAATAGAATAAGCCCTCGAATGTCTTGTTATATGTATATGTCGCATCCAACTGGTTAGATCAGCTATTCTATTGGGCAGCTAGCCATTTAATTGAATGGCTGCAACAGTTATACCCCTAGGTGAATTATGGCCCGTTCTCTATATTTTTATCAATCATCATCATCATGAACAGCCCTTTTAAGTTCCCAATGCAGCCCCTGCAGGCCTTCGCTATAGTTGCTTAGGGAGAATGGGATGGCCTAATGTAATTTCGAGGACATTACCGACTGCAAATGCAGCCGGGATCAATGGCTTAACGTGCCTTATGTAGCATGTAGTGGCTCCAAATAATAATTTTTGGTCACCCATCCCGTGATCGACCCTTGTGAAAGTAGCTTAACAATAATGATCGCGGCGCATATTTTTGTCCATCCTTATAAATACTTGGTTATCAACAATGTCATCGATCACCCTTGTGGATCTAGTTATAAGTGTCTTAATTTCATGACACGTTCATATATTTTTGTAAAAGTAAAAGCGGTAAGTTTTCTTGGTTGTGGATCATCATGATTTGTTACTATATGATATGGCATGACCCCGGTATCGAAAATATTTAGAAATAAAAGAGTGTCTGTAAGTATGAATATCAATTTTCGCATATTCCGTAATTAAAAGGTGGACATAGTTTTTAGTAACATTAAAGGAATTCAATTGAAATATTTTAATGTATTGTTTAGATTTTGTTAATTAGGATTTAAATAGTGTTTAGACGAATTAATTAATTTTAGACACATTATATACATATAGTATTGATATTTGCAAGTCTTTTTAACTTAAAATTTATATTATTATAAATCTCTACGTGTGTATTCACGTCATTGGTAACATATTGACGACATCACTGTTAGGCTTTATTACATACGACTATATTTCAAAAGCTTTCTTCAAGTTTAAGTTGTTTATTTTTATGGGCTTACTAATTTATTATTACATAGTAAATAAGAATAATAATATAAATACATTAAAAATATAAATACTCGTACATAGTAAATTATGTAAGGTTGTTTCAAAGTAATTTATTAACCTAAATTTAGCTTAGGTATTCGATTTAAAGTTGGCTTACATTGTCAGAGTCGCAAAAGGGAGAAAATTTTTTGGTCTATTCCCAACTATTGTGAAAGTAGCTTAACCTCCACAATCGCATCGCCCAATCAATCTCATATAGTGCTATTAATTAACAAAGTTTAGCGTCAGACTAAATTTAAGCTAAAATTGCAATTTGAGTATTACTTCAAATTCATATTACACTGAGAATAAAAAAACCTTCTAGGAGCAAATATTTCTCCCGTAGAACCTCATACTAGGTTAACCTTTGCTAAGTCTCTGTTTAATAATATGAATTTTGACTAATACTAAGTGCAGTTTCTGCGTAAATTTACTCCAACGCTAAACCTTGTTTATTAATAACACCGGTAAAGTGTAAAGTTATATTTATTTTTATTGCGTTAATATTGTAATTACATAATATCCACGTTGTACAAATATCGAGATAGCATTTTACGATGCAATAATATTTGGTTTATTATCACGCTTTTGATATTCGGTTACGCACGTACTCAACCCGATTACGTTCGGATAATCAGATACGAATTTAATGTAGCCAAAGCGAAAATTATTATGATGGGGAAATTTGTGGCAGAAGCCGTAAAAGCATTATTAAATTCGCTCAATATATTTTAAGAGACTATTTATTATATGCGTTGAGCTTTTCCTTGTTGCCTCAATGCCTTGAGGTCGAGTAGCATGTCAGCCGCGACATGGATTTTGCTATGTGATTATTCTATGATTTCACGACGCGTCGTGAGCATTTCCATTAGAGTTATAACACGAATTTACCTATGTAGAGACACAACGCGTTGTGAACTATTTCTTCGCTAAATTTATTCACAATAGCAAAATGTGGGAGGTCTTTTCAAAGATTGTATTGTATTATTTGTTTTATAGCAGTATAACAGCTATTGGAGAAAACAACTTGCTCAAACGGTATGAAATTAAACCTCATAATTAGTATTTACATACATTTATTAATCTATTATGCCTAAATATACATATATATCAATAGAGCAACCCAATGATTCACATATATAATATAGGCTTGAGAATAAATTCACTTTATAATAACGTAAAGTATTTCTAAATATTATCAGAAATATGTAATTAACCAACTTCATCAAATACCATAACAATAAAACTTTACAAAGAATGATTAAGTTTATAGTCAATAACACGTCAATTTATATAAAACTGTTATATTTAATGTAGAGTTAGATTCATATTTATTGCGACAAAATTTGATATTAAGAAACCACAAAATAGGAAATTCCAGCATACGATTTTGAACTTGAATATCAACACCTTTAGAGTGAGCAATCTTGTATAACCTGACATGCTATCGACTGTATATTTTAATCTAAAAGATTTATTTATAACACTTATGAGATCTTTTATGAGAACATCAATAAACGAACACTGACAAACAATTATATCATAATTTAAAAAAAAAAACTATAATAAATTGTAATTCGGTTAAAATTGTGACGGTACATTCTAGAATATGAGTAGAATTTATCATAAGATATGACTACAGATATGCTATCCAATGTAATAGTGAGAAATCCATTTGTTTCCATAGATCCTAAGAATCGAGAAACGCTAAGTAGATCAAGTGTCGTAACTTTTAGTAAGACGTCTTACACTTGCTTTGTAGAAGTTTAAGATGAAACTACTGAAGACTTACCAAGAGATCTTATAAATGCGACTACTTTAGTTAAACTAAGAGCATGCTAGTGCACAGAATACAAAAACTTTTTGCACGCATACAACACAAGGGACAGCGACATTAATAAATAGATTAAAATATCCATCCAAAATATCCATTCTAATATGAAATAAATGACTTCGGTTTTTATTTTTAAAAGAAAAACAAAATTAAAAATATATACGGAGACGAAACGAAAATTTTGCAGCCTTCGTTGCTCAGCTTCAAGTTTAAGTTAAGAATTACAGTAAATAAGAACAACGAAGGCCACATATGTCGTTGGTCAGCATACAAAAGATATAAGCTTAATTTGTGATGTAAATAATAACATACACAATCCACTTGAAGAATATAAAATTAAATAAAATCAGATAACCAGAGCAGTATTATAATACTAATATAGCCGCATCGTATGGAAGTATTCTTTGTAAACCATCAGAGCAAGTGTGAAAATTTCAAAGGCTTGCTAAAAAACCGACGACCATTTTAAATAGTTAAATGCTTGAGCTTTAGTAAAACTCGATTAAAATTACCTTCGAATTCACAAATCGATCCGCTATCGAGGAAAAGTATTGAAAAATTACGCTATAATTATCTGAACACAGACACACGTAAAATCATTTTAAAGACATTGACAAGAGGCCTTGCTTGTTTATATCTAAAACAGTTTATTTTTGTGCATACATAGTCTCGAGGACTCGTCATATTTGATCTTATTTTGTGACAAGTCTTCAAGACTATTGGCCTTCTTAAACTTGCATTGCCTTCTTGGCGTTGAAGGAGATTTATATATGTCAACATCGTGGTGTTACCAAAGTTTAGAAATTAGTTCGGCCGAATATGAAATTGCCGGCGGCGTTGGGATCCTCTGTAGAGAAATACTCCTTCCAAAGCTCTTGGAACTCTTCCCAGGACACTGAGCTCTTGCCCTGATGGATAAAAAAATAACTATGTTAGACAAGATGATATTTAGAGATATTTTAAAATTAAATTTAGATATACAAAATAATGTGAAAATTTATTTCAATCAAGAAAACCGTTAGTTCCCTGTGTTTGAGATGGAACTCGAAAAGTTTCGTAATCCAAGCGTTTGTTTTAAGCAGTCAGTCATATGATTTGCAAATGGTTATTGATTGAGAATTCATCTCGAGAAAATGGGATTGTCCTATTTTAATCTATTTCTTCTCAATATCAACATAGCATTCTCAATATCAACATAGCATTGTAAACACAAAATTTACCACTGCAAATCGAGTATTTTAATGCAACAGGTGAAGAATACTTCGAAAGTGACTTTGTTAAAATTATCAAATCCAAATCTCACCTTAGCCATCTTACTGAACGCAACTTTACACTCTTGCACATCAATGCCATAAGAGGAGCAGACGGTTGTGAATTCCTCACAGTCAATGGATCCGTCGGCGCTGGCGTCTTCTAGCTGGAACATGAAGTGGCAATACAGCTGTTGCCACTTTAACGCCGCGGATGGGTTGAGGGCGTAGTCGTTCCACATTGACACCCACTCTTCAACAGACACCTGGCGGAGAAAAGTATTTTTTGAAGTTAAATTGGGTATCTATTTTAATAAGATTGAATGACATATGTGGACCTTGGTCACCTGGTTATTGATTAAAATATATTACGTAAGCTTTGCGACTGACAAACTTATGGTGTTCTCCTCCGTCATTCTAATTAATAAATCAATTCACCCACTACAAATTCTAATGTATCCTTACAGTGTTAACTTAAGATTAACACCCTGGAAGAAATGGATGAATCACCGGGACATTGACCTTCTGGTTATTTCATCGTCATGCCTACTTCCAAATTCTTTAGAATTAGGCATGCCACACATTGACACTATCTAAAATATAAGTAATGTAATGTATCTGATCAAATTACTAGATCTATACGGTAATAGTATCTATATGGGTTATACACTGTCATAATTTTAAACTTTGCAAAATTTGAGAAGTGATCAATGATGTGAAAAATATATTAAATTAATATAAGTTATAAAATTAATTAAAGGAATCTTGACTTGCGAAATTTAATTAAATTGAACACAGTTGCCAATGGATCGAGACAGAAAGATATCGAAACAAAAGCTAATTAATTGTTAATTTAAATAAGATATTTTAACAGCAGTAGAATTACAAAACATTGTAACCTGAGGACTGGATTGAAATTGTTTAAATATTCGTCTGGATTTAAGCTGCTAGGACTTGTTGTAAGAAACATTTAAAACTATTATTTCAAATTTTATATACTTTATAAGGATAATAGAAAATATACCTATCGCGGAATAAATATATCTGCCAAAAGTATCGAATAATCGACAGTGGCGAAAATAGATACAATAATTTCAACTAATTTTTAATAAACAATATGTGCCACATTATTGGCTTCGAAACAATCTAGATTGGCAAAAAAACCTTTTATTTATATTCCAATTTCAATTCCAACGACATACGTAATCAGTTAATAAAACTTATATCTTTCTATCAGACATATGTATAATATTTGTTTGGGCACATAACATAAGAATATTTAAAAATATATTCTTAATGAAGAATAATTTTCAGTATAGCATTGTGAATGCGAAATTGATAAAAAAATATGTCACATTTAAGGTGTACTGATCAAAATATAAAACTATATGTCACATTCGCGGTCAAATAATTTGAAATTAAATGAATTTATATAATAAAAAGTAATGAATAAAAAACAACACATTAAAGATATTATAAAAAATATTAACTAAATAAAATTTATTCTTTGATAAGTATAATAGAATAAAATAAATCAATTTAAAAAAAATAAAATCTATTGAGTGGTCAAAATATCATTTTCGTTCTCAAAAAAACTCAAGCTGTCACCAACTATACTAAGGCTTAATAAATTATTTGATAAATAATTGTAGTCGTTACAAATTCGAAACACAAGAGACTGTTTACCCAAATTAGTCCAATACTCAATACTACGTTATTATTATTCCCGTATCCATAATTTACTCTTCCTGACCCCTCGACGATTCGAGGGGTGGTATTATCATTATTATTATTATTATTATTATTATTATTATTCGTCCTAGCGAAGGGCGTTACAAATGTTTTGAAAACGCAGTGTTAGGATAGCTGTAAGGCACCGAAAGCGACATGCGTGATATAAGTTCGCTGCATTGTGTTCTTCCGCCATTAATTTTGTAAGCAAAATACATATCCCATAAATGTCTGTGATTAAGAGGGCTGGTAAGTTTGAATTTAGCTAGCCGTTGTACATATGGTTGTCTATGAGAGAAACCACTGGTGCAGAAAGCAAAATTCCTAGTGAAAATCCGTTGTATGACCTCAATTCTCTGAGAACATACGCTATAATATGGACTCCAAACAATAGAAGCATATTCAAGAAGTCTCAGAACTAAAGCGCTATATAGATGAATTTTGGTATCCTAATAAATTGTTTAGTATTACGTTTGATAAATCCTAGCATCATGCTGGCTTTTGTTACTATTGAATATAAATGCAAATCAAACTTCAATCCATTGTCTATAACAATACCAGAGTCACGAACAGCATCCACTTCATTAAGCTTTACGCCACCCACCTCATAATTTGATAACATGAGACTTGCGACGAATTCGTGAGTATAAGTGTGCGGGTAATGCGGAAAATATAGTGCTTGATTGTACATATTTTTCTCTATTCCGGATATTTTAAATGTTATATTAAACGATGACTGAATCATTACTGATTTGTTTATATCCTCAGCTAATTTAAAATCATCATATAACCTTCTTGCTGTATTATAATTACACTCACTACTTTACATTCTCAGCAGGCCCATATTCTCCAGCGGTTAAAGTTAAACACGGTTTAGTACACATTCTCAGAAAACATTACCAATGTTAGTTGGCTCCTCAAGTTGGCCAAGTGGAACGTCTCGACGAGTAAATAACTAACTTCAACAGCTAAAACAGGTCTTAGTTAGCCTATTGCGATTGGGTTTGAGAGAAAGTTACGTAGGGAGTTTAACTTTGCAAGTACATGGTATTAAGTTTGTAAGGCACTAAATACATGCCGCTAGTTGTTATATGGGACTCTACTAATAAAACGCTTGAATTGATCTATGAAAACAGTTTTTATTGTCATTTTGGTACTATAGTTCAATATTTTTTGTTCTATAGTGCCATTTGCTTGTAAAAATCCAAGTTCTAGTGATCAGAAACTTGAATCCAACTAAACAAATGCCTTTTGAAATTTTTGAAAGAAATTAAACTTTTGATACAATCAGTCTTCAAAGTGGATTTGGAACATCAATATGTTACAAATAGAGAGTAATCTGGAGATTGTGAAAATTTGTTACACATCTCTGACGTAGGCAAGATAATTATAAGTAACTAAAAATAAAGTATCATCTTATAGAGTGGAAATATAGATGAATCAACGTCAAAGAAAAACCTCATGGTAATAAAATAGACAAAATAAATCAAACAATCAACATTAAGAACACACGGCCCCACGTCACGCTACAATTCACCAGCTTAAGCAGACCTATGTTACTACGAAAATTCTATACGAAGCACAGTCGGAAAAAAGTCCACAATGTATTGTATGACGTGCAGCCGTGTGTACATATACATAATACAATAATCACAAGGACTCATGAAAGCAGAAGGTACTTGTCATGAAGGATAAATGAACTGTATGCCAATGAATTACATTAATACACATAAAAATATTGTTTGAAATGAATTAGGTACCATTCATAATCCCAAATTAATGGAAGGCCAATCACTAATTGCGTTCCACCACATTCATAAACTCGAGTGGCTATTCCATACAAAGGGTATTATGAAGAATGACCGAATTACTCAGCAAAAAATATTATAAAGCTCGTCCCTATAGGCAATTTATTACAACAATGAAAATGCTACCTATGGTTACAATTATACAATATATACAGTATATACGACGAAGTAGATTTTTTATATAAACTGAATATGAGTATGTTGGATATAAATTTTTTTGGCATACAGATGTTAGCATAATTGTGTTGTAGATTAGTTTAATTTTCAATATTTTTATTCAAAATATGTAACTAATTAAAAGGTGAGCGACATTTTTTTTATATTTCTGTTTTAAAATACCATGCTTAATATTATTATTGTTAAAGAAATTATGTCTAAGTTATTATGTATGAACCAAGAAACTTTTGTTTCAATTATATTATATTGTTTTATATTTTATGTAAATGGATAAGGAATCCACAAGAAATAGTTGCAATAGTAACTTAAGTCACAACTATCCAGAAAATGTACAATGGTACAAAGGTGTGACGTCATGCGACATTTCAACTCAATGTACCGCCGTGTAACGGTGCGACGTACCACCGTTTATTTCGTCCTAGGTTTCCGCATGCAAACTTTTTGTCTTTAATCTTCAACATCATTTATTTTTATTATTCACTGTTCGTAATTTGAAATTTTGAGTAATCCAATATGCTCTTTATGAAAGTCAGTACGCGAAAATTCGTCGAGTTAGAAACATTATACATACTTAATTCCAATCGATAGCAATTTATTGTAAATTATTACCTGTTTTCGTTCGTTTGTATTAAATAAAATATAATAAAGTTAAATTACTCATCAAATCCAAAGAAAGGGTGTATGTAATAGTTCTATTTCGATATTATTATTTATGTAACCATAATATTCCTTTTTTTGTTTGTTACAGTTTTTTTTTTGTTACAATTAATTAAATCAAGTTCTCAAGCTTAATCAGCATTTTATTCATTTGCCTAAGCATCGAACCCGTCACAACCGTAATTTATTGATTATGGAGAAAAATAATAATGAGTTTAATATTCCCAACGGACAGACAGACAAACATTTGCTATCTAGTCCCTATTCTAGTGTTCCGACAGTGCGCGCGAGCGTGGCAAGTCCACACGGGCAATTAAACCTTTTTCTTGAATCATTCTAAATATTAATGAAGCCGCATGAAATTCCGTTGCGTTTAAAAATCTCCGCGAATAGACAGCGGGAAACGCTTTTGTCTTGTATCATATATAGATGTGCTTTTACAAACGACGATTTTAGAAGCAAATGTATATTAAATTTACCATAGCAACAAATGACCTGATAATTATGTAGAGTAATAATAGGTAATACAAACTGAAATGGAATTGCACAGTAATAGGTAATTGCAAACTGAAATGGAATTGCATACTGTAATTAGCGATTCAAATTTAACTGTTCATTTCTAGGGTACCAATAAATTATTATATGTTTGTCTGCCTAATTGTTCACTGAATTAATGTACTAAAACACTAACCTAAATCGCCTTTACAATAGATGATTACAAAGGTTCCACAGACTATTAAGAAGAAAAATAGACAGCTAATCCTTAGTTCCTAAAGTCCTAACGTCACAAACACATATTATACAATCTAATAACAGAAAAGAAGTACACATCCACAAAACAACAGTTAACTATAATGTCAGACAACAGTACAATTACCTGTGTTATTTTACATTGCACAACTGCACTCTCAAAGATAAACAAACACATGAATCCTCAGAACGAATGTTTACGGAATTCGGAAAGCGAATAACAAGACAATTCTGTGGCTATTAAAAAATAGTCAGTGAGCACACTCATAAAATTGTCATGTCGTGTATTTTCCACATTTGGTTTCGATTTATCTATACACTTGATGGTTTCTGCGAATACAATAGTTTTAGTATCAATTGCTAACTTTTAATGTCACATCATCGATTCATCCTTTTCTCATTGGAAATCTAAACTATAAACCTAAACGTACGAACAACAAAGATATTACAAAGATTATTAACGTAGCACTGTGTGACATCACTTAGTGCCTTGAATTTGTAGGGAGAATTTTCGACCAACTAGCAGCATTTCCACAAACAGCACCGTATATCCAAAAGTATTCCTCACAGACATATTAATGAATTATTTATAAATAGAATAAGAGAAAAGTTGTCAACTAGCCTATTCTAGAAACATTCGCTCCATGCACAAACATCCTGACAGCACACATGTTCAATTATATAAATGATCCAAACAAGACGAGTAAACAAATATGGTAGGAAAGAGCTTAGCACGAAGAAGCTTCGCTTACAAATATTTCTCCATAAACAGACACATTCGTGTTGGTTTAACGAACCAAAACATTAACTAAATGTCACAGAAACAGACGCTTGGATCAGAAACGGAATGTCTACATTAATTTGCAGAGTAATTTGTGAGAAGTGTCTAGATCTCCAGCGTAAAGTATGTTTAGCTTACTGAAGTTTCATTAATAAAAGGCAAGAAACTGTTCCGATCCATTACTCTGGAGAAATCATAGCAAACATAATCAATACGTGAACGGAATTCGGCGTCATCAATCAAATACCCTTATACTTAATTAGGAGTATGCGTAGTATAGGGTTTCCAAATTGTTGTAAAAGGCAAGTCACTGCTTACTCCTAAAGCGTCATAAACTCAAAAGCCATTTAACTCTATATTTTAAGACAGGAACTATAAACTAAATAATAAAACTAAACTTGCGTGGTTTATGAGAATTTTGTTTTATTTTGTTGCATGGAAATGTACTTGCAAAAGAAGTATAGTGTCATAGGTAACACAAAACAGACCAAGGTATTATTTGAACAGTTAGAATAAAAGCTAGTAGCAACACTTTGTTGAATAAAAGAGAATTCTAGTAAGCATATCATAGAGAAATAAAAGGTGAACTTGTCTTTAATTATTGAGGTTCTTTGTGTCTATTTACTGTTGTTTTGATGATTGATAGAAAAACTAAAAGGAATCTAGTCAATGAAATTAATCGACACCTTGAAATAGAATTCCTATCTATTCTTTATACATAAAAAATAAATAAAGTAACGGCAGGGCCCCGTATTGTCTAAACACTGTACATTATAGGTAATTTGAACTCTTTGTGTGAAATATATTCCATTTCGCAATTATTATTCATCAAATCAGATTGCTTCGATTAAAAATGTAATTGCTAAACAAACGACTATTAAAATGCAATGTACCTGTGGACTAGGAAACTAGAGCGGAATAAATATCAGAAAAATATTAGCTCAGAAGATTTTACAAGTCGTCAAACTGTTTCTTATAGATATATAAATTGATAGACATCAAGATTATTCTAACGTATGCAACATAATTCATACCTGACCATCTTTATTAGAGTCGGCCCTCTTTCTTAGTCCATCCCAGATCTTAATCATAACTTCGTGTGTTTCAGTATGCTTAGCGTCACCTGGTTTCCAGCCTCGCTGACTGCAGATTTTCTGTTTGAAAAAAATCTCCTAAATATCGTTTTAACAAAACACTCTCAAATGGTAAGTATTTCAGATTCTATGTGTCATTTTTCAGTAAATTCTCATCACAAGCACTTCGTTCAGGAATACTTTGTCTTGAAACATTAACTGTTTGACTTGTAACATCATTGGTTGTTTTGTTGTTTATATTGTTATTAATGATAAACTTACCTCTATAGCCAATTCAAAATCTTTCCTTTCTATTGTTCCACTTTGATTGACATCTATAACAAAAGGAGAGAAATCATTAAGAAGAAGGCTTGGGTTATTTAAAAATATGTTAGAAACGATGTATTTTTTTTCTCTATTACGTTTCAGATCTCGCTTTTGGTTATTTTTCAGATTTTCTTTAAAAGTTTCTGACGAATATCGTTTGAGAACAATCTCTCCAATTTACGTTGAATTTTATTTATTGACAACATATTGTATTACTTGTCATTATAATGTAATATCAGTGACAATTAAATACCCAAGGTCATAATTTTCTACCTGTTTCTTTGATTTAACCGAAATAAACCTGTCTCATATTAAAATTATATCCATCGTCGAATAATATAGTAAATTCAACATTATCAGAGATAGAAGCACTGGTCAATACCAGGTACGTAGCAGGACAATTTTAGTTTTGTGGAGTAAGATTTAAAATCGAACGGAGGATTTTGACAATTTTGTTAAACTTTGGATATTATTGATTGTAAATTAACCCAAACCAACTTTCTATAATCAGTGGTACATACCAAAAAACACGTTGAAAACGAAGAGCAGCTTCTTCCTTCTGAATTCAGACACGGACATTTTTATTTAATCTGGAACAAGGAATAACAGCTTTAAAAATAAACATTTAATGTTGAAATCCTGTAATCGTTTTCCCGTCAATAAATTCTTTTAACTGGATAAAGGGTAGTATTTAACAATCTTAACTTTATTGTAATGAAAATACGATCTCTTAAACTACCAGACGCATTTCAAAATATATTTTCATTGCTATAGCTATAAAATAAGACAGATGGTTGAAGATTACATTAACATCATACTTTACGACTTTTGTGTCTGAATGACTGACACACTGAATGGTGACAGAGACCAAAGGTTTGCTTATTTTACTGGTCGGTAATATTTCCTAATTGCCTCGCGTTTAAATATTTAACTTGAGCTATAAGCAATTTCTATGATTTGGAAAGTTTACCTACATATTTAAACATGCAGTTCATGCACAACATCGGTAAAGCTCAATCATCCACGTACACTAACTACTTTTAAGATAGTGCATCTCTCCATCCAAATGTTGTCTAGAAGAGATCGCTGTATAGTGATAAGGCCGCCGTTGCGCTACTTTGCCTGAGACTTTGCCAGTGTCAAAGTCTCAGGCAAAGTAGCGCAACGGCGCGATGTTTCGTCTACCCGTTACTAGATGGCATTGCGTGTCATTTAAATCGCTCTAACTGGGAATAAAGGGACGGGTAGCCGTTCTAGTACTTTGCCTTGTATACACTGTTAGCGCCGAGGCCAACCTAGAATGTTCTAGGTTACGATCTACGGTATCGGCCCTTGTAAATACGCGGTGTACTACCCGTTCCGGTATTCTTTCAGTGACTAGCGAACTGAATACGAGAGCGAATACAAGCGAATGAAATATTTATGTTATTTTTATTTATGTTTTTATTCTCATCTTGAATTCAGTGATTTGAATTTAGCCAAAAAGGGTACAAAAAGGGATCAAAAGCTTTTTACTCTCACTTCATTTACATTACAAATTTTTAATTCATATTTTTTTTATTCAGATACTAATATAGTATATTAACATGTAGAAATGCCGGATATTTCAATGTAAAATTCAGTTTTAGCTAAGCAGTATTGTAAAATATTTGAGATACTTTGATGGTATATATTTTGGTTATATAGTTGTTAAATTTGAAAGCTAGTTTGGAACGATAATATTACACTAGTCAAACATTTATGTTTTACTAGGGATTACAAAATCCGTTTTTAATCCGTTTTTCGAATTTCTCGTCCGAATAAAATCCGGATTTATCGATTTTTTTGCCATTAAAGGTGTTTGGATAAAACCGAAATAAATATCATCATCGTTCGTCGCATCAGCCATTTGAGGTCCATTGCTGGGCATAGGCCTCCCTCATGGGTCTCCACGACGATCGGTCCTGCATTGTCCGCATCCAGCGCCTTCCCGCGACTTTTATTACATCGTCGATCGTCCGGTTCCTGCCCTCTAAGCATCGTCCAGTACGTAGTCGCCATTCAAGAACCTTTCCGCTCCATCAGCCATCAGTTCTTCTCGCTATGTGTCTCGCCCACTGCCACTTCAGCTGAGCAATATTGATTACATTAGTTCTCCTACGTATAATCTCGTTTCTTAATTTAACACGTAGGGAAATACCAAGCATTGCTGGTTGACTTTGAGCCTTCTTATGAGACCCATAGTAAACAACCACGCTTTACTTCCGTAGGTGATCTCTGGCAACAAACAATGGTCGAAAACTTTTGTCTTGAGACACCGAGGAAGACCGGACGCGAAGATTTTTCGTAGCTTCCCAAATGCTTCCCATACGAGCTGAATTCGACGAGAGATCTCTTTCTCAAAGTAAGATTGACATAAGTGAGACTTAGAGTCAAAGAGGTCGAAATCGGATGGAAGCATCATCATCATTTTTAAGAGGCCATAAGTTATTTTATTTTACAATTGCGAGTTTGACATATTATTAACGTTTTCGTATTGTTCATTCCCGCCAGAATCGTTTTGTGTAAGTAAAATAAATTAAAATATATAAAATAAAAAGAGAATAGGGACTTCGCTAACTGCTATCATAGACGCTCTCAATCAGAAATTTAAAAAAAAAGAAAAAGTTGACGATTGAGCTTTTCTTTAAAACTGTTTTTTTCGGTTATTTTCGAATTTCGAAGCATCCGGTTCGCTTTTCCTGTGTTTACTATAATTAAATGCTGTTATTATAAAAAGCAAAATTGATAATTGCACCGATAAAATTTTCTTGCCGTGAATTAATTAAAGACCAGAGTCATTATATCGTCAAAATCAACATACTCATAAATACTTAATGATAGTATATGAAATATTCTTTTGTAATTATAAAAGTATTACGGCGGCGGCTATGAAAAGCGGTCGGGAAATAAATAATTGGTTCAATTCCATTTTCACTTTTGACATGCGAAGGCTTTCCTTCCGGTTCTTTGTTATGTGTTATGCTTTTTTGTTTTCTTCATTAGCGAAATTTAATTATATGAATACATTTTTGAAGTTATTATGTTCAAAGTTTAAGAAGTAGAAAGTGATATCAATCAAAAAACTAATGGCGACAAGAGTAATTTCATTCCTGGGAATTTTTTATGTTATTATTGATAGTTCATAGTACTCCTTAAATATGGTTTATAGGAGATTGGAATTTGAAAACTTATTATTATTATGTCTTTGAATGTTATTTTTCGTGGTAATGAAGCTTATATTCGTTACCTATTAAACTTCAACGACCTCTTAATAGGAAGCCATTTAATAGAAAACCCTATCGCTACTATACCGACATCTTGAATAATCATTGTCATGTAACAGTTAATAACACTTAATAATTAATAGCTCGTTGTCGTAGTGGATAAGCGCCAAGGTCAACGATCTTTGTTGTTAAGCAACCTTCGCAAGCGTCGGTCGCGGGATGGGTGACCAAACAATTATTATCTCTAGCTACTCCATACTTCAGAAGGCACGTTAAGATGTTGGTCCCTGCTGCATTTGCAATCGTTTATACCCACCAATCCGCATTGGGCCAGCGTTGATTTGCATGGCCCATCTTCCTTAACCATCCATAAGGAAGGCCTGATTCCCTGCAGTGGGGTCGTAAAAGGGCTGATGATGATGAATAACAGTCAACTACACAAGATCGTAATAATTTATAATTAATTAATAATTAAATAGCTGTCTTTCCACCAATTTGCCCGTGTACATTATAGCCTATGTCACCAGCCTATTCAATGCAAACAAACAATCAAATCTATTAATACTGAAGACAGTTAAAAATAGTGTATATAATTTCTTTAGTTTGAGCTTATCGCTTTCAGAGTCATTTTTATAACATAGGTAGGTACTACCACTACTTAAAATGGTTTCTTTCTTTGAAATTAACTTCTTTTGTGAATACATAACAAAAGCCACTGAACTAGGTTTGCTTATTTTATTTATTAATGTTTATTGCAGTCTGAAAAGAGTGTTCTAGGTAACAAGAATTAAAAAAGGTAACCATAGAAAATTGTAAGATCAATTTGGGAGATTGTGCTGTTATCGCTATTCTGTACTTTCATTTCCAACAGCGTTTTACTAACGCTGCTGCAATAAGACTCTTTGTTTAACCCGATCAATAAACTTGATATAACCAGGCTATATTTGTAGTAAAAAGCCAGGTGATAGAAAAAAATAGATTGAAATGAAATGAAATGAAAATATCTTTATTCAAGTAGGCAAGCACTTTTGAATCGTCCAAAAAAAATTTTTTCCCCTACCACTTGTTGATGTTTATGTATATCTTTCGTACTTAACGAGTTACCGATATTTCAATATTGTTGCAAATGCTATGATCACGGAGTGTTTGAGTCCTGGAGCTATCCCTTGGTCGTAGCGCTTGCAATTACGCCGATATATCTGGGACTCGAGGACTCGATAACTTGGTATGAACAAAAGCACGTTAGATTGTACAAAACTGACAAATTTCTTTTAACTTCTTAGTACATTGACGGTAGAGTTCAAAATCAATTTTGGAAATCCTGAAGATACTGTTATTCTAATGTATGTAGGTAAATGACCGTGAGAGTTTAAAATAACAGCTAGAGAAAATATTCAACAGATTAAAAATATAGTCTTATCCACAGTCTGTGTTAGAAAAATTATATTATTATGGATATTAGGTACATGCTTTATGGGACTCGAACTCACGACCTTCCGCATTCCGGGCGACTGCTCTAACCACTCCAACTACTTAGGACAAACACGACTGTCAAATTTTTTCAAGCACTTACAGCCGAAAGAAATATTTTTATAAATATTGTCTCTTTTCCATGTAGCTGAAGTCATTATCTATTGAATAAAACAAAAACGAACAAACAGCGTGATGGAAATTTATTTTATGCTGTATATATTCGATCATATGTATATATTGGTCAATAAAAATAAACTTAGCGAATGTAAAAGCTAGATGCGATGTTTCATATTTCACGCTGATCTACCAACAAAGCATTTTCGGTGGCACAAAGATTCGCCCCGAGCGAGGCAAAGGATTTACTAAAAGTCCAATTCTAAGTCAAATATAGAAGACTAAAGGAATCGTCGTTATATAAATTGCTGTAGTAAATCAAATATTAATGGTTAAAATAGAAATCGCCATATTTTCTTGCTGAATATTAATATAAAAATATTTATTTATAATATTATTAATAAGACTACACAAGGATATTTCAAAACAATTAATTACGTTATTTTTACAGTTATATCGCGTGTGTTCTTAAAAAATATAACATTTTTCAGACATTTCGGATCTTTTACAGATTTCGTGTATACAAGATAAAGATTTTGGTCATCTTATAATAATTAAATACGTTCAAAAATACATAATTGATACCTTAATTGTACCTACTGTTTTATAAGCATTTGTATTTTCATCACATTCATGTTATAATTTGAAACAAATTCTCTAATCGTTTAACAATGTCATGGACACTTCAATGGCTCTTAAGATTGTGTTTTATAGTAAATAATTTTAACCAACATCAAAACAAGGTTATCAAATCGAGG